TTCAGTTAACATATTGAAAAAAAAAAAACTCAAAGATCCTTATCTCATTAATTAAGATTCAATTTTTATGGAGAGTAATGAGTAAGTAATTTCTTATAAATTCTTTAGTTTTTATGTAAATAACTTATTTTTTATTGAATTAGAAAGAAATTAGTTTTGAGATACACATAAATTACTTCGAGACATCTTGATGCTAAATCAAAATAAATATTGAACTACAAAATTAAATCTTGTTTTTTAGTAGTGAATGGTGGTCAACACACTTTCTTACATTCGGTTTGATTTAGTTAAAAATATAATATAAATATAATTAATTTAGTGAATTTTTATTTCTTTTATGTATAATTATGTTTTTAAGTTTATTTATTTTTAATTTTAAATTAAAATATAATAATATTTAAATAAATATATTATGTATTGTATTAAATTAAAATGTATATCGATTTATATCCTTTTACAATTACTTTTTTAATAACTTATATATTCAGACTTATAGTTGGATTAACTTTGGGACAATTTGTAAACCATATATATTAGACAAGCCACTACCCATAAATATTGTACTAACAACACCTCCATTGGAAATATCTAAAACCCACCATCGTGTTGAATATATTTTTGTACTTTAGAGGGTTAATTATTTAGTTGTACATATGTTTAAATTTTTAATTTTGATCTTAAATTAAATTTTTTAAGTTAATAGGTATTAATTCAACCAAAATCTTGTTAGTATAGTGTTGCATATATTAAATTTTGTTGCAACTTCAAAAAATCTATAAAGATTAACGAAATGCATGAAGTGCCATAGTTTATCCCAACCAGGCCTTTTATACTTTTTTTTTTCGTTTGGATATAAGAAAATTGAACCAGGCCTTATATACTAAATTATAATTTGTTTAATTCCTAACCTTTACTTTATATTATTAATTTCTAATTTTAATTGTTGTTGAATTGGATCCACTCATTAGTTTTTCAGTTAACATATTGAAAAAAAAAAAACTCAAAGATCCTTATCTCATTAATTAAGATTCAATTTTTATGGAGAGTAATGAGTAAGTAATTTCTTTAGTTTTTATGTCAATGACTTATTTTTTATTGAATTAGAAAGAAATTAGTTTTGAAATACACATAAATTACTTTGAGACATCCTGATGCTAAATCAAAATAAATATTGAACTACAAAATTAAAATCCCGTACAACTAGAAATAATGCAATCTACATGGCGCCAACGTGTGCACCCCAACCGCTAGAAATATGTCATCTAAATAATTTTTTAGTAGTGTTATAGGGATAATTTTTTTATATTATTTTTTTATACAACTTTCATATGTCATTAAATGAGTTGATGCATTCAATATCACGAGTCTCATATAAATTAAAGAAACTAATTATCTAGATGACACGTCAGGTTGTACAAAAAAGTGAGACAAAAATGTTATATAAAAATCATTTCTCATCTAGATGACACGTCAAGTTGTACAAAAATGTGAGACAAAAATATTATACAAAAATCATTTCCCATAGTTTTCTTAATCCACTTCAGCAGGTGACCATTCCTTTTTTTGTTAAAATATTAATTTCATTCCTCAACTTTTAGATTTATATTAAAATTGTCCTTCACTTCAAAAAATATTAAAATTGTCTTCAAGCTTCAATTTTTAGTATCAAAATAGTCTTAAAACTTTGAGGATAATACCAATTTAATTCTTGAACTTTGAAAATAAGTACCAATTTAGTCCTTAAACTTTAATTACAAATACCAATTTGATTTTTCAATTTTGATTGTATATCAATATGATATAAAAATATAAATATGTTACGATAACAAAATATAATTATTTGATTTTACACGTTATTAGTATTTTAGAAAGGAACTGATTTTGTAGTAAAATAGTGAATTATGTAACACTTTTACTAACGGAAGGAATTTTTGGTATTAAAAATGAAAGTCGAGGGACAGTTTAGTACAAACCTAAACATTGAGGGACTAAATTGATATTTTAACCTTTTTTTACATAAAGAGACTATTCATTTGTAAAGCAAAAAAGTTGTAGGATTTGTTTCTTATTTGAAATTGAGATAAATAATAATTCTCTCAAAATTATTTTTATATGATATAATATTTTAGAAAGATAATAATTCTAAGATGATAACTTTACTAGGTTCACCAAAAAAATATTGTTCGATTTAGAGGAATGCTATTTTTCCTTTTCCTTTTTTTTTTTTTTTTAGTTCTGTGGTTTAAATTCACATTTAATAATCTATCTTATGTTGGGGATAAATCTCTATTTCCAAGTTCTGATATCATTGTTGGAATTTGACTGCCATTGAGATCGATTGATTAAAAATATAATCATAAAATTATGCAAGTAAATTAAATAATAAAGCAAAATAATATAGAAGAGAAACACCTAATATAACATGAAAAACCCTCCTAAGTAAGGGAAAAACTACAAAAATGAAGAGAAAAATCCATTATTAAGAAAGAGTTACAACATTAGAAGCCTAATCTCAATCTCTTTTAAGAACTCCTAATTTCTCTAAAGAACCCTCGCTTAATCTCTCACAAAGAATTTTTTTCCTCACACACTTAGAATCTTTCAATAGCTTCTAAAAAACTCTCATAGTTATCCATGTTAAAAAGCCCTTCTCAAAACTCTAATTATGTAGAGAAATCTTACCATTTCAATATTCAAAGAAAGTGGAGGCACCTTCTCTCGTCACCCCATGGGGGTGGGTTATAAACATACCACTTTTAGTGTTTTTACTGTCACATCTCTCTCTTTATTCTAAAATTGCTAATAATACATATTTAGAATAAGTTATATCGGAGTTAGATTGTCATTAAGAGTACAAATGCAAACTGAGTTTTCATATTTGCAACAAGCCCAAGTTCTCGCCAAGGTATTAATACCTTACCTCATGGTGTTGAAACCATAGTAACTCAAGCAAAGCCCGCATGAGCAACCAGTTGAGAGTCTAGAACCTTGACGAATGGTCCATATAGGGGTGGGCATTGGTACAATACCGTATCATACCATATTAATTTTGTCTTGTACCAGTTATATTCGGTTCTTTAATCTTGTATCAATATCTACCCGAATATGTTTAATCAGTACACTATTTAGGAATCAATACTCGGTATTTTTATGACAAAAACCAAGTACCAACCCAATGTATATTAGTTAAAACTGGTCCAAAAGTCCATTTTTCAAAGAGAAAGTAAAATAGAGGCTTTTGGCTTTATCTTCTAATTTGGCAGACGAAACACATAAAAAATCAAAGCCTCAAAGCCTCGAAGCAGCTGCAGCATCACAAAGATGGGCATGTCGCATGTGATTCTATTTCTCTCACAGTCCCACTTTCTCATCTTCTCCAATTCGTCTCTTCACCTATTGTTTTCCCTGTACTCTCTGTTTCTCTTTTATTTTAATTTCCAAGTTTTGCAAGAATAAAGTTTACAATCTTTTGAAATTTTTTTTTGGATTTAAAGCAATTGAAAGGGAACTGTTTAATCCATCAAAATTGTTTAAGAATTTGCACATCACACCCATCTTTTGAAGAAAGATCAAGCAAGACTTACTGGTGTTCGCCTTGTCGGTATTTGGTCGTGGGTTGCAGTGCCAGTCATCACCAGCACCGCTGTCTACTTGCAATTGTGGAAACATCGCCGGGGGAGAGCAGAGTCGATCGTAGATGAACACAGTCGGTGGAACCATAGAAGGTAGAATGACGGGTAAAAAGATTAAGGGTTTTAAGGGCTGTTTTGTATTTACTATTTAGCATTGACTTAGGAATATTTAATTATTTTAATTAATTAATTTATAAATATATTTTAAATACTTAATTATAATATGCGATATTCGTAACGATAATCCGTATTCGATATTTTTGAGTTGGAGTCCAAATACCGTCCCAAAATATTCATCGGTACCATTCTTGTACCAATGTTTTGTTCTTGTTGGTACAAATCTTGGTACTGATTCCCAAAATTTCGATACATACCGGTGGTACAGTTCGGTATTCCTGACTTTTGCCCACCCTTAGGTCCATAACCTTTTGGTTAAAACCCTAATTTAATCCCTCTACTTTGATAAAAAAATTTTTTTTAGTCCATTTACTTAAAAAAGTCCCTTTTTGATATCTAAAATTTGAAATTTGATTCCTTTTTAATTTTTCTGTTAAGTTTTAACTTTAAATAATGAAAATTTCAAAGTAAAGAGAAAAAATGAGCTTTTTTTCCAAAGTAAATGGATCAAATTTGGGTTACTTTTAGCCCCATTTGGTCTATTTACTTTGAAATTTTCGTCATTTAATGTGTCACGTGTGCAAATCTTAATAGAGAGACTAAAAAAGGGCTAGATTTCAAATTTTAGGGACCAAAAAAAAACTTTTTTAAGTAAATAGAATAAAAAGATACTTTTTATAAAAGTAAAGGGATTAAAATGAAGGTTTAACCTAACCTTTTTGGTTATTGTTTTTATCTTCCTCTGTGCTCTCAATACCTTGATCAGAAGTGTCAACGCCTTTGCTTGTTCAAGGTAAATTTGAACTTCAAAAAATGAAGGCATATTCCAACATTTCATTAACATTATCTTCTTATTCATAGAATTGAAAAAATTATATATATATATAGAGAGAGAGAGAGAGAAAGAGAGAGAGAAAATAAAATTTTATTTATTAACGAGCAAACCATATAGCATCCTTGCACGTAGATAAAGGGAAAGTTTAACCACATAGATTAAGACCTCACAACTTTATAAAATAACACATAAAGCCAAAGAAGTTAATTTTGTACCGTATCGGTTGGTACAGTCGGTATGTATCGATTTTTTAAGTAAACCAAAATGATATAATATTAATTTTTATTTTGGTCAAAATTTGATTATTTCGGTCAAAATTTGATATATCGATTAAAATTTCGATCGATACACACTAGCAAATTAAAAATAAGGATCCCTTGGCCAAAGACGACGTCGTTTTGGGCTAAGGGCTTCTTGCAATTGTAATTTTTGGTACACAAAAATCTTCCGTATAACTTAATTCAAATTTACAAAGAGTAAATTTCATTTTCGGTCCTCAACTTTAATGTTTTGCATAAATTTTATTTTTTAACTTTTTTATATACTTTTTTAGTCCATTCTTCATTTTTTTTAATCCTTCTATCAATTATTTTTTTAAATTTGTCTAAATATACACATTTTTAGTCCTTTAATTTAAAGTGAATGGAAGAAAAACATGTATATATTAGAAGTTGAGGGACTAAAAATTATCATTTTAAATTTGTTTTCAATTTATAGAAATACGATAGTTTTAAATATTATTATCTCTTATCTTATTTTAAAATTTGATATTTAATTTATAAAAACATATATTTATAGTAATAAATTCGAAATGGTACGCAAAAAAATTTTGGTATTTGATACATACCATTCCAGTAAAAAAATCGATACGCAAGTCAGTACGATATTGACTCTCTTGCATAAAGCACAAACAGAAAATGTACAGCACTATCCCAAAAGTAATTGTTTAATTGATGAAAGGATTGACTTCTTACCTTATTAATTAAAATTTAATTTTTTAAGAGGTTTATAAATAAGTGATTTCTCATAAAATTTTTTATTTGATATGAATAACTTGTCTTTAATTAAATTAGAGATAAACTAATCTTGAAGCACTCATATGATCTGGTTCAAAAACACTTTAATAGCTAGAAAAAACACAGAAATGAGGAGTATTCACATAATGCATTGAACAGTTTATTTGATTACCAAGAAAAAAAAAAAAGTTGATTTGTTAATTTATTGATTTATTTTTGAATAAATACAAATATTATGAGATAAGAGATTTCAATTAATATTATATTAATAAAAGTACACTTTTAAAATTAATTATATGCCAATCAACCAGAAACTCAGGAGCGAAAAAGTCGATTTGTTTTTTTTTTTTAAACATTTTAAGATGAGACAAGTTCACAATCCGCTCAAAAAAATAAAGTTGACTTGTTCAATAACTAATGTCATTGTAGCTCTGGACCAGCTGCGAAAAAGTCGATCTGTTTAGAAGGCGAACGTGATAGACAGATAGAGATTTCACTATTGATCATGTGGTATGTACTTCTTACTAGCAGAATTCTTCAGAATCATAAGTAGCCTTTTGACTTCTTTTCCTTGTATTTTAAGCACTCCGATCAATTGTTGGATCCCGCAGTGGCCACTGCAACTTTATCCGTGCGTTTAACATCATGTACCATACGATAGGCAATAATTTCAAACCACATTCATTTCTTAAAATCTCATCTCACTTATTTTAGTCTTTAAATATGAAAATTACAACTCAAAGATTCAAACTTAATTGTACGTTAAAAGCAACCTTTGGGGCACCAATGATATTCATATATTTTTTTTTCGAACATTAGGGAATTAGAGTAATGAGGGATTTTTTTAAATAATTGATATGAGTCAAATTTTTGATAAATTAAATCTAAATACTAAAATTTCAAAATAAATTATTGGATTTGAATACTCAATTTCAATGATATTCATATTTGAAGATAGATAGTATAAAAGGAAATATCTTTTTTCTTTTTGATTTTTCCTAGATTCAGTTTTTATTTAATTTAAAGTCAAAACTTAAAATTTTAAAATTTAAAATTTTAACCAATTAAATTATCTTCTTAAAGACATTGATACCCATAATAATTCAATTATATCCATAAGAATAATTGACACTCATTCTACTAAATAATTAAAGCACGCTGTACTGGCTGAATTGACACTACGATTATTTGATCAGCAGGCAACATAGCGAAGGTGGATTGTGATTTCTGGTTTTTTTCTTTATGTTTCTTTGTTTCTCAATGGGAAGTGTTTGTGTTCATATGAATACGCGTTTTCTTGTTCTTATTAAGAAAAATCTAAGACAAGATGTAGTGGTTGGAGAAAAGAAAACGTGATATGTTTTTTGTGAGTGGAGGAAGAACTGCGCAGCCCACTAATGGGAATCAAATCAATGTTTTTTAGTCAACGTTACATGTATATTGTTCACACAAATATGAAGATGCTGATAAAGCGTTTTATCTTAGTGAATTTTTCTTTTACTTTTAAAATATGCTTTGTTCAAGAGAAATGAAGTACCAGACAGGCACAGTTCCTTTTTTTGATTAAGAAAAAAATGTAGGGGAAGGGAAGGAAGACGAAGTTTTCCCTTAACGCTATATATATTATGAAATTTTATTTATATTGTATTGGAGAAAAGGGACCAGTAAGGGTATGAATTTTTTATTTAAATATATAAATTTTGTTAATTTTTAAATAATTGGTATATTTTTTTTATTTAAAGATGTTATCTTTGTTTTTTATTTAAAAATTAATTAGATAATATTGTTAATGTGGTAAATAAATTTTTAATTATTTAATTAATCTTTAAATAAAAAAATAAAATTAATATTCTTAAATAAAAAAATTAAAAATTTATTAATTTATTTAAAAATTAATAAAATTTACATCTTTAAATTATAAAAATAACAAAATTTATATCCTTATCTATATCTTTTTCTCGATCATATTGAGGTTGACAAATTGATTATGGTAGCAAATGAAAACTTTTTAATTCCGATATGCGAAAAAATATTAAAATAATATAATAATTTATAGTAAATTATTAAAATAGTAAAATAATTTAT